AATTGCCTGTTATTACTGTAAAATTTAACCTATAATTCCTAAAATATGGCCTAAAATTTGGCTCAAAAATCACACAATAATTGTATAAATTCAGGTCAAAAATAGGATAATTATTGAATAAATTACCATGCAATAATTGTGTGATTTATTGCAATTTTTAGCACAATTATTGTATGGTCAAATATACAGAAATTGTAGTGAATTTAATTGAATGATTTTTCAACAAAAATCACACAGACTTTTTTCATAGGGAGAATCTACCATGTTTTCTCGTTTTATACACAAGACTCATAACGTGGACATATTACTCTAAAATATCTTAAATATCTTATTAAACCCGGGTCAAACCGGGTCAACCTGGGTCAAACAAAGGCATGACCCTGACCCGACGAGTCGGGTTGAATACAGGACTAGTGTCAAATAATGATGAACCCGATTCGGATTTTAAACACGAGTCGGGTCAAATGACCCGGGTTTGACCCGACCCTTTCGGAACACTACTTGAAATACCATTTTATTGCTTTAAAGAGATCTGAGAGACCTGAGAACACTTTATTTAGTGTGGTTTTATTGTGATTCCAGTGTAATGGTTTTGATTCATGTGTGATTTCAAAGTGTGAAAATACCAGTTTATTTTTCAAGCTCTCGGTATCTTGGTACAAAGTGTGTATTATCGACCCAATTAACCGATCTAAAGTTGGTCAAACTCCGTCAACCGGTCTGGCTGAGGCTTTCAATTTTAATTTTTTTTCTTTAATTAATTCTCCCTTATTAAAAAAATATTTATTTTTATAAAAAATAAATTATTAATTGCTTTTATTAAAAGAAAAAAATATATTTCATTTTCGGTTAAAGGGATCAATAGATATCATTTGTTTTCAGTTAAAATTAATCCTTTATTTTTATTTTTTTGTTTTTACTGTAATTATTAATTGACCTATTTAGTCCTATTAAAAAAAGTCTATTTTGACCGGATGAATATCTTGAATTCTTGATATCATTGAAAACCATCAATCCGCCTGGCCAAACCTTGCTTGGAAATTCTTGCTGATCAATCAAAATTATACCTTTCTGTGAAATCCTTCAGAATGTCACAGGAGAGCTCAAAATCAAATTTTATTATAATGATATTAAAAGGATGCAATTAAAATATGCTTTATGCTATATACGATATGCAATTTACATACATACAGAATATATTATATAAAAAATTGAAAAATGTTTGTATGACGCCTTTCCTGATTTAATCAAAAAATATATGAAATCTTGATAATTCGCACATTATCTAACCAAATTGAACGAAAAAAATGCAACATTTTTTGCTTTTTTATGCTGGAAAGGTTGGGTTCGTCTGTCTGGGTAGTTTACTATGATAGATAGGGAAGCTAGTACTAGTTCTTTTAGTTTGTATATATATATATATATATATATATAAAATTTTTTGTATCAATTGTTTTGTACTACTTTAATAAATTGACTTACAATCTTAATGTAAAAAAAAATAATTTGGGCCAATTATGATAATTATATATCATCTAAATCTAGATTATAAACATGAAGTTTTTGGAATTAAATTTATATTTTATTGCTAAATGTCCAAATATTGTTATAACTATCCTCTAAACTATTATTATTATAATTAATTTACATTTATTTCTTATCAAATAAATAAATACTTCATAATTATGACAAAATTTTTAGATTTCTTGCGATTTAGCAATTTTTTTTTAAAAAAAATAAGCAAAGTAAATGTATAAAAAAATAATTTACTAATGGAAGCGAATAATTATTTCTGCATAAAATTTATTTTTATATTTATTACGTACCAACACATACTTCCATCCTGAGAGTATTATAAAGAATTAATATATATATGAAAATTTAAATTTATGAATTTGATATATTTAGAGGTACTAAAAGGTAACTTGTACAGTGCGGTACGTTGCTGATTTCTTTTAAATCCATTCAAAATCTTCATTAAGATTCATTCCACAACCAAATGAATATTTTTTAATCACTCCTTTCGCTTTATATTCTTCGATTAAATTTACCAATTTCTGATCCACTTTTATTCCGGAATGATTTATTTTTAACAATATAGGATTCCTATTTGTCCAACTAGAAAAAAATGATTCAATATCTTTCAATTTAAATATCTTAAAATAAAATTTAAATTTAAATAAACTAATTGGTGAAGATTTGGCTAATATTTGAAATAACTTATCCCAACTAAATTCATAATCTTTGCACACGTTAATAATTAATCCATTTAAAAATTGACAACTAATTAATAAATTTTCAAATTCTGGAATCAATAAATTTCTATCTAATGATAATTTAAGATACCTAATATTTGGACAATTTTGATAAATTGCTTGAATAAGTATTTTACAATCAACATAATGTATGACATTATCACAATGTATACTAATTTCAGAAAGATTTCCTGTTGTATTTTCAATTAAATTTACTGTAGCAATTAATGGAACATAATCAACCTTTAAAATTTTTAAATTAGGTAATGACAAATTCTTTAAATTATTTGGATCATTCCAATTTCTGAAATATGGTTTATGAATTTCTAAATATAGTAAATTCACAAAGTACGAAAGAAATCTTGTAGTAGGATTCCAACTAATTCTCAAATATTGGACAGTATCTGCATGTTTAATTAATGATTCTTCAAGAGATTTATAAAATGATTCATGTTTAGAGCTTGAAATATCGAATAAACAGAATTCATTTAAACTTTTTTGTACTTCAATTAATTTAAAGATCCCATAATTATCAGTATTATCATAAGCCGTAATATATAATGTAATTTTTTTAATTGATTTGCATATTTTAGCCAATCCTTCTAAAATATTTTGATCAATTTTAACATCACAATGAAAGAATCCAAGTTCTGAAAAGCAACATTTAGCCTCCGGAATAAGATGTAGCTGATAATCAAAGTAACGTGGGATTGAAAGTTGAATAAACTTAGTATTTTTATTAATAAATAATTTTAATATCTCGTTTCTTAAAATAGGTGCATTTGATTTTTCAATCATTTTCGAAGAAATTACATCTTCTAGGATATACAATTCTAAATATTTCCAAAAACTAATATAATCAAATAAAGGACGCTGATATGTTGTCTCCGTAATAAGATTATTCATTCCTTGATTCTTCAAAATTACTCTTGATTCTTCCGATAAATGTAAAAGTATTACGTTATATAGTATATTCTTTGAATTATCAGTCGCATAATAAAATTGACTAGGATTTCTCCATAAAAATGGCACCGCTGTTACACACCAAGTTCTATTAACTAAAAGACATGAATAAAGTGATTTTTTATCATTTTTTAATTTTTCAAATATTAGAAAAAGCAAATCTTCATTGAATCGCCACATTCTTTTTTTTTAAAAAATAAATAAATAAATAAATAAAAAATAAAAAATAAAAAAAAGGAGAAATTTTTTATTTAATTTAGGTTTTAGAAGGATTTGTCATTATTTTAATGAAGATTAGCCTTATTGTGTAACAAATATTACGTTTATATTTTATTTTTTTACTTTGTGTTGCAATTTGATGCATGAAGATCTGTCTCTGCATGATTTAGTAACCAAATACTATTTTTTTTTTGTATGACGAATACGTGGCAATTTAATAGGAAGTTAAAGCTTATGGCAAATAAAATTATTTTCAAGCATTGATATAAATAATATATAGGAAATGGCATTATTTAATTAGCAATTCACGAACTTATGAAACATATAAAATATAAGTAATAATTTTCATAGTAAAATTGACAATGATTAAATTCGATGTTGATTTATTATTAACGCCGTACAGTTTCAAACTTAAGGTACTCCGGCGAGGATTACGACCTTTACCTACTGTACATTAAACTTATCATCCCTAGAATTAAGTGTAGAAAAGATCGTAACGTATTAATATCTATCTCTTTTACTTTGTTTAATAAATGTGAAAGGATTTTGCAAATAATTTTCTTCCACATGAATACATTTACTAACAAACAGATGAAAGGAAAGATTTCCAATATCCATTGATCTGCAGAGTTGATCTATCGGAATCATTATACTTGCACTCATATTAAATGGAATGAAAAAGTCCATATCTCATCCCACTCATATCCCAATCCTAATCATATTCAAATCACACGCAAAATGACGCCCAAGACAAATGGCGTTCAATACTAAAAACATTAAATGAGCCAAAGATGATACACACAGTAATGCTCAATCATTAAAGATAACATTTAAACTTTTAAATTCTTATAAGCAAAGTTCTATAATTATTTTCTTTTGTTATATTTAATCTTCAGATACTTTCCTCTAAATGAAGAACTAAAATTATAGAGTAGCTTATATTTTCTACGAAAGCAAAAACAAGTTGATGGTATATTTCAGACACAGACATTAAAATGAATAGTATAATGACATTATAACTAAATTTTACAAGTGATAATAGTTTCTTGGAAAAGTTATATCTTAAAAAATTTTCAGTTACAGTACTTGATTTAATAAATAATTTGTTTATTTTATAGAAAATAGTTTACGTTTGTCATGCGTCAGATGTAGATTTGATATTTGATGGCGTCACTCGCCGCATTAATTATCGTAAATAGCTACTATTTTTTTCCCATTATGAATGGTTTGTGCGTTGTAAAATGATAAAGTATTTTTAATAAAAAAGGTATAATTCCTGTGATTATCAAAACACTTGCCAGGTATACTTTTTTTCTGGTTAGACAAATTTGGGAAAAAAATAGTCGTAAAATTATTATTTCTGTAGAAACTCCGTAAAAATGAGCCTTTAACGGATCCATTCATGAAAAATGTAAATTATTCGATAAGTTCCGTAAGGTTATTAATTCCAGAAATATGAGCCTTTTCCGGAAAAAAATATGGTTATAGAGCCTAATCGATTCGATTATAAAGTAGCGACCACCCACCCTCCTTACAAATTCGTATCTTATTTATATATTAAAAAAAATTTTGTAAACAAATTTTGGTATCATATGATAAGATCGACTAAATCAGTGACGTCTTTATGGAAAAAAATTAGAATTTTTAAAATTTTATTATGATCAAAACATGATACAATGGAGCTCTCTCACATGAGATACCTACGTAATATTTTCTGGTGCGAAATAAATATCTCACGCGTAAAGAACTTTCCGCGTTTGATCCTTATTCGCAAATTACGTAAATAATTTGTAACCTCTTCATAATTATTTATACGAAAATAACTTGTACAATATATTTATAAAATCATAAAAAAGATATTACAGTTAGTTATTTTAGTTTAGGAAAAAAAAAGCGAATAGTACAAAAAAAATATATTATTTAGCCTGAGAAAGAATAAATGAAAGTTCTTATACAATATACGTAGGATGAGAAATTTAGAAATTTTTATTAAGATGAAAAAAGAAAGAATTTTACGTTTGTTTAAGTATCATTTTTATGGAGTTTATAGATTTAAATCATGGAATTTTTTAATGTATCATTCCGCGGAATTTTTATGAAAGCCACGGAGAAATAATGGAAACATAAGAATTTTTTTCTTTTCGCCGGGGTCTGTAATTAATTGGTATATAAAAATAAATGAATTATTTTGTTATAATTTAATTATGCAATAGTCTTGTGTTCCCCGGATTCAATTATAGTCTGACTCAGATAACCTGGGTTAGACCCGTCAAGTTATATTTAATATAAAAAAAATTAAATTTTTAGTTAAAAATATAAAAAAAGATTTGGGTCGCCGGGTCAAAGTAAAGGTATAACCCAACTCTACGGGTTGGGTTGAGTTCATGCGGGTTATGGGTCATCAAATCGTGCGACCCAACCCAACCCCTAAATACGAGTCGGGTCAATAACCGGGTTTGACCCACCATTTTGGAACACTATGCAATACACGGAATATTTTGCATAACTTTATATTTCGAATATCAAAAAAAAATTGAATCATGTATACAAATTGCATGCAATTAGTCGTTTTAGTCGCTACTATTAAATTCAATATTTTTTAGATTTACATTTATAAAAGTTAACCCATATAATGCTGTTATTTATATATTTACTAATGAAATTTCAATTACTTTAAAATTAATATCATCAGCTCTTGAAATAAATATAAAAAATTTTACATATTTATTTTTATATTTTACATATTATAAATAGTTTATATACTTATGTTGTTTTGATGATTTATATTTAATAATTAGAAAAGTTATAAAAAAAAGATTTATTTAAATTACAAACTAAGAAATTTGTAAAATATTTACTGCTCTGCCTTAATGTTTAAATAATTCTAATAATAAAGAATACATATGTGTAAATTTAGATAAAATATACTTAAAAAATGAATTATTTAAATTACAAACTAAGAATCTTGTAAATTATTTTACTACTCTAGCCTTAGTGTTTAAATAAATCTAAACTAAAAACGATTTCTGTTGAATGTAATAACACAAAAAATACTATAAATCTTTTTAAAAACACAAATAATTAGTTAACTTTCATCCGTTTTAATATCTAAATAATTAAACAAATAAAAATTGATTTCATGTAAATAATTTGCAAAATTAATTTTTTTTATGTTCTATATTACATACTACCTAATGACTTCAAATCATTGATTATACAATCATTCAAATCTTGTGAATCCTCGCTTTCAAGAATTTCATTCAATTTTTTACTAGTAAAATCAAGTAAGCGACTTGTATAGCAAGCCTGTGAGTGAGGTTCAGTAGCAGGATTGTTATGTCTAATTGGTGCATTTATAAATTCCATAACATTGCATTTTAATTCTTCATTAATATCTTTAATTTTCTCAATACAAGGAAGAAAAATCCATCCACCAATAATGTTTAAAACTTCCTCAGAAGATGGCCTTTTTAATGAATCTTCATCCCAACATTTTTTCATCAAATCTACATAGAATTGTGGAGTATTTTCAATAACTTCAGGACGTTCACCTCTACAAATACTTAAACTAAGTTGAATATCATGTGCTCTATTATTAAATGGGGATATTCCAGATGAAAATTCCCACATAATCATAGAAAAACTGTATATATCACTAGCTGGTGTATAAGCTTTGCCTCTTGAAACTTCAGGTGCCATAAATGGTACAACACCATAAATATCATATTTTTTCAAAAATGATTTTACAGGTCGACATAATCCTAAATCACTAACATAAATTTTACTCTCATCATGATTTAAAATATTGCCATCATGAAAATCACAATGAATAAGATTTTGTTTATGTACAGTGTTAAGTCCAGAAATAATACTATACAACATATTTAATTTTTGTTTCCAACCACTTTCAATTATTCTTGTTAAGTTTCCTCTTAAATCACCTTTGTTTGCGTAATCCATTACTACAATATATTTCAAAGTAACTGGATTCTTTGTAAATCCAAACAAATCAATAATATAGTTTGAATCTAAACAACTATTATGATATTTCCACTATAAAAAATAATAATGTATTAACATTAATAAATTATAAATTAAATTAAAAAAAATAAATAATATATCATCATACTTCGTTTAAAAATTCAATTAAATTTCCATTTAAATCATTATGACATTTAAGAATTACTTCTTTATCTTCATGATCCTTTAACCAAATAGCTTTGTATATAGTACTAAATCCTCCTTCATTAAGATATTCAACATTTTTAAACTTATTATAAGGAATCCATTTTAACTTTTTTTCAAGAATAAATTCATCTATAATTGTATTTCCACTTTTTCCAAATCTATAAATTTAAATAATTAAAATTAGGGTTTTGTTTTTTAACCTGCGTTATGTCGCACCCCTATAATATGTTACATATAAAAGTCAAAAATGACATTCTAAATCCTTTTTGATATATTAAGAAAACTTGTAGAGCGGTCAAAAATACGCATAGTATAAGGTTTCTTATAGTACGTAATAAGTGCATAAGGCCTCAAGCCAAGATTTTTGAAAAATGTAAAATCTTAACAAAGTCATGTGATTAAAATATCAGACATAATTAATACATAGAAATTACCAAAAAAGGGAGATGTGACATATCGCAGGTGCAAAAAAAAACATATTCCTTAAAATTATATCGTAGTTTATAATAAAATTTACACTAAAATTTATGATTAAAATTAACACTTACTCTAAAATTTAAATAAGAAAGTTAAGATAATATATGTCTTAGTTTTTGCATAAATATATATAATAATAAGCTATATTTCTCAACTTACCAACTAAAATAATAGAAATTTTTAAATCAAGAATACAGCTAACAAATAAATATTATAAACATATACAATAGAAATAACAAATAACTTACAAGCTATATTATTAAATAATTTTTCAAATAAAGAATTTAGTTAGTTTAAATTATATAACAATAAGTAATAATAGAATTAAGTAAATAACTTGTAACTAACGATCTATTAAATAAAGAATTTAGATTAGTTTAAATTATATGTATATAATAATAGAATTAAATAAATAACTTACATGCTAAATACAGAATTTATTTAGTTCAAATTATATGTAAATATTATAACAATAAGTAATAATAGAATTAAATAACTTATAACTTACCAACTAAAAGAAATTACAAAATAATTTAAATAAAGAATTTAGTTAGTTTAAATTATATGTAAATTTTATAACAATAAGTAATGATGGAATTAAATAAATAACTTACTCTCTATATTATTTAAATAATTTTTTAAATAAAGAATTTAGTTAATTTAAATTATATGATATGTAAATATTATAACAATAAGTAATAATAGAATTAAATAAATAACTTACTCCCTATATTATTTAAATAATTTTTTAAATAAAGAATTTAGTTAGTTTAAATTATATATAAATATTATAACAATAAGTAATAATAGAATTAAATAAATAACTTATAACCTATAAAATAATTTTTTAAATAAAGAATTTAGTTAATTTAAATTATATGTAAATATTATAACAATAAGTAATAATAGAATTAAATAAATAACTTACTACCTACGAAATAATTTTTTAAATAAAGAAATTAGATAGTTTAAATTATATGTAAATATTATAACAATAAGTAATAATAGAATTAAATAAATAACTTACAACCTATATTATTTAATAATTTTTTAAATAAAGAAATTAGATAGTTTAAATTATATGTAAATATTATAACAATAAGTAATAATAGAATTAAATAAATAACTTACAACCTATATTATTTAATAATTTTATTAAATAAAGAATTTAGTTAGTCAGTAGTTTAAATTATATGTAAATATTATAACAATAAGTAATAATAGAATTAAATAAATAACTTACTACCTATATTATTTAATAATTTTTTAAATAAAGAAATTAGATAGTTTAAATTATATGTAAATATTATAACAATAAGTAATAATAGAATTAAATAAATAACTTACAACCTATATTATTTAATAATTTTTTAAATAAAGAAATTAGATAGTTTAAATTATATGTAAATATTATAACAATAAGTAATAATAGAATTAAACAAATAACTTATAACTTACTAACTAAAAGAAATTACAAAATAATTGTTTAAATAAAAAATTTAGTTAATTTAAATTATATGGTATGTAAATATTATAACAATAAGTAGTAATAATAGAATTAAATAAATAACTTACACACTATATTATTTAAATAATTTTTTAAAAACAGAATTTAGTTAGTTTAAATTATACAGTATGTAAATATAAGTAATAATAATAGAATTAATAAATAACTTACACTCTATATTATTTAAATAATTTTTTTAAATAAAGAATTTAGTTAGTTTAAATTATATGTAAATATTATATGATGAAATTAAATAAATAACTTACTCCCTATATGATTTAATTAATTTTTTAATAAAGAATTTAGTTAGTTTAAATTAAATGTAAATGTTATAACAATAAGTAATATAAAATTAAATAAATAACTTACTCTCTATAATTTAATAATATTTAATAAAGAAATTATTTAGTTTAAATTATATGTAACAATAAGTAATAATAAATAACTAAATAACTTATAACTTACGATCTATAAATAAAGAATTTAGTTAATTTAAATTACATGTAAATATTATAACAATAAGTAATAATAGAATTAAATAAATAACTTACTATCTATAAAATAATTTTTTAAATAAAGAAATTAGTTAGTTTAAATTATATGTAAATATTATAACAATAAGTAATAATAGAATTAAATAAATAACTTACTCTCTATATTATTTAATAATTTTTTAAATAAAGAAATTAGTTAGTTTAAATTATATGTAAACATTATAACAATAGGTAATAATAGAATTAAATAAATAACTTATAACTTACCATCTAAAAGAAATTACAATAAATAAAGAATTTAGCTAGTTTAAATTACATATAAATATTATAATAATAGAATTAAATAAATAACTTACAAGCTATATTATTTAATAATTTTTAAATAAAAAATTTAGTTAGTTTAATTATATGTAAATATTATAACAATAAGCAAATAATAGAATTAAATAAGTAACTTATAACTTACTAACTAAAAGAAATTACAAATAATTTTTTAAATAAAGAATTTAGTTAGTTTAAATTATATAAATAGTAGAAATGTAAATAACATATAACTTACACCCTGTAGTATTATTAAATATTAATTAGTTAAATATAGACATAATACAAAAGTATTCTCTGTAAATTAAATGTATCACTTACAATCTAGTTATTTATATTAAAAATATAATTAGTTGAGTTATAAAATATTAAACAAATAAATATAATATATTATATTTACCTTCGAATTCGTTAGTGCTACTTTCTTTAAATTCCTTGATACTACTTCCTTCTAATTCTTTAGTACTATTTCTTTCAAATTCTTCAGTATTACTGGAAACTAGTTTTATTATATTGCAAATTTGTTTAAAAATTTTAGAATTTGTATTAAATATATTAAATATTTACATTGATTTTTACCTTTATCATTACTGTGAGCCATTACTATATAATTGCATTAAAATCTGGAAAAAATAAAAAAAAAATAATGTAAATATTATTATTAAATGTTTGGATATATATATACGGTGATAATCACAAGTACAAGCATTGCATGTATGACAAATAAATTTTGTACGTCCGGAATGTGTTGACAATTGTCAATTGTCAAGCCTCATTATTTGTGTCTTTGCGAAAACAGAAAAATTTCTTAATACATAATATATAAACTTCTAAAAGATAATGCGTAAATGCTACTTTGCAGGTTTATTTGGGTGGAAAGGTAGTTTTGAATATCACCTTTTTGATTTTTCCGTTAAAACCGTTTGGCAAAAACAATCTTTTATATACAGTCAATAATTACTACATCTAAAGTGGTTATTATAATATTTACAGAGTAATGATTATACAGTACAAAGTAAACATCTACGTAATAACTACAATTTATTGCTTATCTCAAATCTGTGACAGTTTAGTGTCGATTTTGCTATAATAGGAAGGAGTGATGTTTACGCGTCACTGATCACGTGCAGCCACGAGTTCAAAAACACTAAGTATCTGAGGGACTTGGAATTTTTTTAGTGCCAAAAATTTATTTGTCACCGTTATTTGTCATCGTGATCGACACTAACCTGTCACAGATTTTAGATATGCCAATTTATTGAAACTATAGTCACATGATCTATTACGTTACTTCACTTATATAAGGTACGGAACGTAAATTTTTTTGGTAAATACTTCACATTACTCCTTATATTTACCACATGATCGCGTCATATTTATTTGTTTATCGAATCTCGTTTTCAGTATAGGTTCATTTCCTCGGTTCCTTTCGGTTCTACAATAAACTAATTTTATTTCATTTTTTTTTAGATATTTTAGTTCTTTCAGTTCTAAAATTAATAAAGGTATGCTTTTTTATTTTTTATTTGTTTTTTTTATTTCGTTTTTATCTTATATTTCGTTTCTTACTAACTTCATTTTTTTTTTACTTTATGGTTTATTTTTTACTTGGTTTCCTATCATTACCCAACCTCCTATCATGATCATTTTTTTATTCTTTTATCTCACATCATTTTTCACCTCATATTACTTCTCATTATTCGTCTCCCATTATTTCTATTACATCTTTTCATTTTACATTATTTCTTTTTCTCTCCTGTTTACTTCCCATCATTTCTTTTTGTCTCTCATCACTTCCTTTCGTCTCCCATCACTCCTCATCACTTCTTTCGTCTCCCATCACTCCTTTTCGTCTCCCATTACTCCTTTTCGTCTCTCATCACTCCTTTTCGTCTCCCACCACTTCTTTTCGTCTCTCATCACTCCTTTACGTCTCCCATCACTCCTTTTCGTCTCCAATCACTTCTTTTCGT